ACCCATCTACATATCTGATGTTGTACTCCCATTTATTAGCTGACTTCTTATTTGATTAAGTATTTACTATGCTCAAAAATAAAATAAATATGTTTATTAGATTGGTAATTTCTTTCTATTTATTGCGGATATTTCCCTGGTTCCTATGCCTTGTATATTTTTTCATCTTTTAGAATAAGACGCTATAAGTTGGAGGAGCGTCCTTACATTTTGCAACGTTCTTTTCCCTAACTTGTGTGTTTTTTTCCATGTTCATTGATGCATTCTCCTTTGATTATACTTTATCTGTCACGATTCTTTTATGCGCTCCCAGTTTCAGTTTTAATTGTTTCTCATTTAATCATAATGGAAGACACTGCAGTGTTTCCTCTGAAATTTCATGTTTATTAGTTAATGCTAAGAGAAGTACAGAGTCTACTTTTCTTTCCTTTTGGAGTTCAAGTACCAAGCAGTAGAGCAACGTCTAGGTCAATCTAATACTTCACAACAAGGATTCTTGTGGGGAAGGTTGAGAACAAGTGAGACCTTCTAAAATACTAGCGAAGTTGACACCTTCATTTTACTTGTTAATCTACATTATTTTAATATGAAGTACAAGTTTACAACTTTCTTAGTAACGGACAGGCCTTTTAGCAGTTCTCTTAGATCTCATTTCCCTAATATTTTCCTTGATTAAACAAGCTTAAAGTTTTCCATTTTACTTTCCATGGTTGGCTGAGAAATTCAGCCTCAGCTATTTCAAACATCCCTGCTATAGGTTTCACTTTTTGCGCTTAATTACCAAGAAAAGAAGCTCTTTACAAAGTCCTCACCGGAACTGTCCATAAATGCTATACGTGGTTGAACCTGCATGGCTGGATAGCTTGATTAAACAAGCCTTTTGCGTTTGTTATAGTGTATAATCACCAAATTCTTATAACCTTTGTACTGCTGAAAGGTTGCTACTTCAGCACTTGTGAGTGCATATTTTCGGTGTTGTGTTTGAACCTGCATGGCTGGATAGCTGGCTGTTTTATGTGTTCCTGAGTCTCAGTGGTGATTACATTTTATTTTTGCGTTCTCTTTTCTATTAAGTTAACAATCCACCCTTTGGATCTTTGAGCACTTATTAAAAGTTATCTTTATATCTCAAGCTCTTTGTTGGATTCTGTACTTTATCTGCTTATGGAAATGATCCCTAGATTTCTAATACTGAGAAATGAATCTTTGTTAATTGGTTTGTGAGTTAAGTTTCTAGCTTTTACAAATTACAACATTATTCTAATTGCATAGTCTTACATGTTAGGTTCGACTGTTAATTGTTATTTTTTATTTTTGCTAAGTTCTCTTAATTCAATAATTTTTAATCAGTTTGGCGGTTTAGGGGATGTTGTGACGGGTCTTGGTAAAACATTGCAGAAGAAAGGTCACCTCGTAGAGGTTGTTCTCCCGAAATATGATTGTATTCAATATGATGGAATTCGTGACTTAAGGGTATGCAGAGAAACACTTAGTAATGTATGTTTGTGATGATTTTATTTTATTAATTTATTCCTGGTACAGGCCTTAGATGTAATGGTATAGTCATATTTTGATGGCAAACTGTTTCAAAATAAAATTTGGGTTGGTACCGTTGAAGGTGAGAATTTTTTCCCCTTTCAGTTCCATGTTATCTATTAGCTACGCATTCTAATCCAATTTAATTCACAGGTCTTCCGGTTTATTTTATTGAGCCTCATCATCCCAACAAGTTCTTTTGGAGAGGACAATATTATGGAGAGCATGATGATTTCTAGCGTTTTTCATATTTCAGTCGTGTGGCACTCGAGTTGCTTCTTCAAGCCGGCTAGAAACCAGATATAATTCATTGCCATGATTGGCAGACAGCTTTTGTCGTACGACATTTTGGCTTTATGTTTCTTTTGGCACCTGATTTAATAATGTTCTGTTTAGTGAAGTGTTTCTTCATTTTCAGGCACCACTTTACTGGGACTTGTATGCTCCAAAAGGTTTAAATTCTGCTCGAATATGTTTTACTTGCCACAATTTCGAGTACCAAGGGGCTGCATCTGCTTCGGAATTGGCATCATGTGGTCTGGATGCCGAGCAGTTAAATAGACCTGATAGAATGCAAGATAACACATCACACGATAGGGTCAATCCTATTAAGGTGCTGAAATCATTGGTTTGGCTATAAGCCGATTGCAAATATCACTACTTATTGAAAGTAGAGTTTGTTTGGTATTCTTTTTCAGGGTGCAATTGTGTTCTCAAACATAGTGACAACAGTATCACCTACTTATGCACAAGAGGTCCGAACTGCTGAGGTATTAATATTTTGTAGTTTTCCTTTCAACATGGCGGGCTTCTTTTATGATTTTTAGGTTAAACCGCAGAATCATGCCCCCTAACTTTTACAGGGAGGAAAAGGCCTCCATTCTACACTTAATTTTCACTCGAGAAAGTTCGTGGGAATCTTAAATGGGATTGATACTGATGCATGGAATCCTGCCGCCGATAATTTTATCAAAGTGCAGTATAGTGCTAATGATATACAAGGGAAAGCAGAAAATAAAGCTGCCATCCAAAGGCAGCTAGGGCTTTCTTCTGCTGATGATCAACGGCCATTGGTAATTTTATTTCTAAATCTTTATTTTTTTATATAAAACGATGCAAAAACATCTCTAACACCCTTTGTTTTAACCCTAATGTTCATGGAAATAAAGGCGTCTAGTCTATTGCATAGCAACGGTATTGCTTATAAATTCGAAACACAGGATGTTCTTTGTCTGCTATGCCTTTTTCCCCTATTGTTTTGCAGTTTTTTCGAGTTTATTTGCATCTTTTGCAGCAACTTAAATAAGGTTATAAATCGGACAGTCCAGCTTCCCATTAGCAATTCTCAAAATTTAATCCATTTTGAGAATCTGATTTTTGTTGGAGATGGCCTTCAAATCCTCATCTGATAAGAAGCTATATGATCTAATCAAAACTGAATGTCAAAAATCAACTAATCTACCTCATCATAGGAGGTTGTTATTATCCCTTAACCGAATGCTGCCTAAATTCTTACTAGAAGTCTTTTACTATCGGATAGGTGGGCTGCATAACGAGATTGGTTCCACAAAAAGGTGTGCATCTAATCAAACATGCCATATATCGATCGTTGGAGATGGGCGGTCAGTCTTCTCGGTTCAAGTCCAGTTCCTCACATTCAGGTGAATCTTTACTGCTGTTCTGTGTAATAATAGCTAATGGCAAATGGTGGCAAAGAAGATCTCATTAGCAAAGTAGCTTTTTAAAAGATACGAACCAGTTAGGATAAGAAATTTCTTTCTGCATATATGAAACAAAGCAATAAGAACTATAAAAACTCCATTCAAGCATCGTTTCATGCATTAAACGATAATCGTCCATTTGCGGAGTTACTTGTTTTATGTTATGTTAATCCTTTTCCTGTTCCATGCTTTCATTATTCGATACCGTAATTAGATTGAGATTCTTTTCTTTATGTTTTCCTTTTTCTTGTTTGCAGAGGGAATTTGAGGGTATAGCAAGCCAATTCCAACATCACGAACATGTCCGTCTGATACTAACATACGACGAGTCTCTTTCTCATTCCATTTTTGCAGCATCTGACATGTTCATCATTCCATCCATATTTGAGCCTTGTGGCCTTACACAGGTATGCTCCAAACTTCAGCCTTAACAATCTTGTTGAACAAAGAACAACTAGAACGAAACATGTGTTACCCTTAAAGGGCCAACCATTTGAATATCTGATCTGTTTAAGTTTCCCTTTTTCTTATTTATGATTGACATGTTCATCCAGATGATAGCAATGAGATATGGTTCGGTACCCATTGCAAGAAAAACCGGCGGCCTAAATGACAGGTGAACAACTTTATATGATTTATGCATGTCAATCCACTAATATGAAGTTAATTGACTGAAAAATCATGAGCTTGCTCTTTTGTAATTTTCTTCCGTAGCGTTTTTGACGTCGACGACGAGACTATCCCTCACAAAATTCGAAATGGATTTACATTCATAATTCCTAATGAACAGATAACTCTGGGATTCTTGGAATATAAATAACCAGCATTCAAACTTCATTTCAGTTAATTTTCTTTCAATCACCCTATCCTGATCACCTATTCACTTTCCGATACCATTGGTTTTGCTCTCAATCATACTTGAATCTTGGATGATGTGAAAAACTGACAGGGAATAAACAGTGCACTGGAACGTGCATTTGATCTCTACAAGAACAACAAAGAGATCTGGAAACAACTCGTTCAGAATGACATGAACATGGATTTCAGCTGGGATTCTTCGGCATCACAGTACGAGGAACTTTACACCAAGTCCCTTTCCCGAGCCAGAGCAGCAGCGAGCAGCGATTAAGAGCATTGCTTGGGTGAGCGGAAAAGTAAAAGGAACGATTCAATGAAGCGAGTCCGATTTGTCCATTCTAGAGCCCAACAGTTCAAGATTCACAGGCTTATATGTGAAGATCAGTAACGTTAAAGCTGGCATTGAAATCAGTGCTACCCTCTGCCTCTTTCAGCTCCGATTGTTGATAGTTGCATTTTAACCACTGTTCATATTTATGATAAAGCTTTATGTACATTAAAGGTTTTCTTTTTTGTGTCCACTCTCAGACTAATTTTATATCTTACATGGTTGCATGTAACATTGTCTAGTTCTCAAAACACTTGGCTGGGAAGTGAGAAGAATACTTTGGAACTTAGGTAAATTTTTGCAGTTTTATTCCTTCGCCGCTCATTGCTTTCGTCCTCGTTGATGTAATAGTAGTCTCTCTAAGTATAGTCTTCTTTATAATAACACAGTACTCTCGTATACCCAAATAAGAAAAGTATTAGTACAATGATTGTAGTCTTCTTTATAATGACTGTACTCTCGTATTTGTATACCTAAACGAGAAAAGTAGAACCCGACTGCTATTACCCTTCTTCTCATAAAAGAAAGAAAGCTAGTTGAAAATAGGGGGAATAATATGAAGAGTAGACAAAATTCACATGATGATCTGATTGATTTGCAACAAATTTACATCACGAAAACAAAGAAAAACCATAAAAAAAATACAATCCGTTTCACACTCTTTCCTCACTTTCCGGGGACAAAGTTGGTGGCATAGGCCCAAGCATTGTTGTTAACCGGGTCAGCAAGGTGGTCGGCCAAGTTCTCCAACGGACCCTTGCCGGTTACGATGGCCTGTACGAAGAACCCGAACATAGAGAACATAGCCAACCGGCCGTTCTTAATCTCCTTAACCTTGAGCTCAGCGAAAGCTTCCGGGTCATCAGCAAGACCCAACGGGTCAAAGCTACCACCCGGGTACAACGGGTCGGTCACCTCACCGAGCGGTCCACCGGCAATACGGTAACCCTCGACGGCACCCATTAAAATAACTTGGCAAGCCCAGATGGCCAAAATGCTTTGAGCGTGGATCAAACTCGGGTTACCCAAGTAATCGAGTCCACCCTCGCTGAAGATCTGTGAACCGGCCTTGAACCAGACCGCTTCGCCGAACTTGACTCCGTTACGTGCCAAGAGCTCGGGGAAAACGCACCCGAGAGCACCCAACATGGCCCATCGGCAGTGGATGACTTCGAGTTCACGGTTCTTGGCGAAGGTTTCCGGGTCGGCTGAGAGCCCGGCAGTGTCCCAACCGTAGTCGCCGGGAAATTCTCCGGTCAAGTAAGATGGTGGTTCACCGGAGAGTGGACCCAAGTACAAAACTCTGTCTGGACCGTACCAGGGGCTGCCGGATGGGACGGGCTTGGTGGTTTTCCTCATGGAAACACGGCCGCCGCCTTGGATGTAGGGGGTGGATGGGTAGAACTTCACCGCCTTACCGGCGAATGAAGGGGAAGAGAGAGCCATGGTGGAGGCGGACATTATGTAGGAGATTAATTTTCCGGTGAAGGGTGGATGTTATTTGTATCGGAGAATGATTGATATGAGAAATCAAGCGGGGTTTATATAGGGAGCTCCGAGTAAGGTTCCTTATCTTCGTCGTGATCTCTATCTTTCATTTCATTGGAGCTTGGAGATTCTGGTGATGTTATTGCATGTCCACTTGGCACTCTTCCATCCACAAATTTCACTTGCCCGGCTGCCATTGTTACACGTCCTAGAGTTTTTTAAGAATCACTGGGTTGATAGGGAAATTCGACTGTTGCAAAAATTTTGAATCCTTTTTGTTTGTTTATTTGACAGGTTTTTTGCACTTCTTTTATTATTGATAACCACATACATTATCGATAAATTCTTCACCTTCTTCTCCATTGATGTTAAGCTTCTCCCTTATTCCATTTAGATGGGATTTTCAGAGTGATGTTAACTGATGCTGACAATTTATAAATAATTTACAGATAACAACAACTAAACAATCATAAAATAAATAAAAAAATTAGATGAAAATTCTTATTGTAAAAAAAATCATTATCAATTAAAAAAATTTATTATAGTCGAAAAAAATAAAATTTATTTTTTCACTAATTAAATTTCATTATTAACTTTTAAAATAAAATAAAATTTAAATCATGAACTTTAATAAAATATAAATTAAAATGTTTGAATAACTGATAAGATATATACTTTGCAATTTGCTGCAAGATAAAAAGCAGATATGGTGGTCTTATCCTGTGATCACAAGTGGCAAAACCTCATTGGTTCAGCAAACAACACTTTAAAATTGCCGGTGATTTTTTTATACGTTCAGGTCCACCTCAAATTATACGACGCTGACACGTGGCGTTGGAAGTGCCACGTAGACATTGGGAATCGAATTTCCATACAAACGAATAGAAATTCAGATGTAGATAGCCTTTGACGAGATGCATTAGAAAGTTTTGGGAAATTGATGAAATCAACTGATCGAGTGCTGTGGGTTCAATTAATTGAATTATTCATTAATACTTTAATCAAAAAAATTATTAATGACCTTATTTAACTCTACTCAATAATAAAAATGACTTCAACAAATTATGTTAAAGGATCGTACGAGTTAGGATAAATAATGCCTTATATTTATTTTAAATTAATCAAAATAAATTAAGAACGTAACATAGTTTTTGAGTAAATTACATGTTTAGTATCTTAATCATTATTTTTATTTCGTTATGGTCACTCACAAAATCATATCTAACGTTACGTTTTGATTTTATTTTGGTCACCTACTGTTAAAAAATCAATACAACTGTTGATGTGTTATTTTTTCTATTTTGATGATGACTTGGCATTATCTTATGGTGACGCATCAATATTACTGACTAAAATAAAATCAAAACTTAATGTTAGGTGTGATTTTGGAAAACAAAACAGTCGGGTGACCAAAATGGAACAAAAGTGATAATTGAGGTACTACAAGTGTAGTTTGCCCTTTTTTTCTTGGTGGTCGGTGCCAACAATAGTTTGTGTCTTGTTGAGAACAGCTTGATTTCTCATGTTCCCATCCACAAATAGATAGCAAAAAATGTGATTAGGTAGACATGTGAAGTGTTGAAAGGTATGGGGGGGTATTCTGCTCTTCTTCTTTAAGTTTTCTAGTTAAGGTAATGGCGTATCTCACCATCAATGCCTAGAAATGATTAAACTCCCTTTAATACATTGCTTCTTTTATTCAATATGGTTCATGAATATATGATCGTAAGTATCAAAACCTGATGTATACATTAATATCAGAAGTATTACTTATCTTTTATCTTCGTGAATATCAGTTGAACTAAACATAATAATGTGTTAAAATTTGGATCATTCATTAGGACATGTTAGGGTTTTTGTCGTTGTATAACATCGATCAAGAACTTAATGGAAATATGACAAAGTATGTTTGTTTTCAGTACCATTCATTGGTTAAACCATAAAACCAAAGACCTTTTGCTCGACCAGTAATAGATAAAAAGCACAAGTCCTATCTGGCACATAAATTGTTGATTTAAGATGCCCTAGAAAGAAGAGATCATTTGCTAGATGAATAGTAAGAAAATTTAATATTATTTTAAATAAAGTTTCTAGTTAGAATTGCATGAATGAGAGAAATATCTTTATTTTTATTCAGAAGTTCAGTTTTGATCGATTTAAGATGTTATCGGGCTTAGAGATGATTAAAATACTTTAACCTAAAGAGTTTCAACTCGATTTTATAAGGTAATGTTTTTGTTCCAAATTTAAAGTAAGAACGAATTTTGTGAAAGGTATACTTGTGATTAATCACATAGAGTCAAGTTAATTGTAAAAGAAAATTTAACCTAATTTCACATTTTAATTACTATAATACCCCTTCATTTATTTAATGATAATTACTATAATGTGTCCCTATACATTTTTAAACTGTCTCTTTATTTTATCAGATAAAATAAAAAATATTTATATCACGTGATAATATGAAAAATTCTACAGCGCACGTCGCATACCGCAACATACCACTAAAGCCACGTATCGAAACATACCACTAGCTAAATTATTCTTATTAAGTAAATATTAAAGAGGATAAAATATTTTTTTATCTAAATTATCATTTTTATTTAATTTTAGTATTTAAACTTTAAATTTTTTTAAAAATTAATTAAGGGTTAAAACCGTTTTTCAACAATCATTACTTAAAAAAAAGACCCTTTTCGGCAAATTTACAAGAAAACACACGCAATGCTTTTCATGGTTTGCCCTTACAGATCTTCGGTTAAAGCTGTCCATTTGAGGCATTTTCATCCTATATATATATATATATATATGAACTTTGCTTCATTTCTTATTACCCAAGCTCCTTTCTTTTACTTTCAACACAAAAAACAATGGCTAAATCAACTGTCTCTCTCCCAGTTTTCTGTCTCCTCCTCCTTTCATTTGACTCTGGTATGCATCTTTTCTCTGTCTTTCGTTTCTGGGTTGTATAAATGGTAAAATTTTGGTTAGGTCCCTTCATAATTTGTAAAACCATACGTCAACAGAATGGTAAAATTGCATTTCCACTACTTATCAAATTTCATTCCCATTTATGCAGGGATCTTATTGAAGCTGGCCAAAGGGCAGGTTTAATAATCAATCTTTAGCTGTGAATGTTACTATAATTTTCCATTAAAAAAAACCCTTTTTTTCTCTTTCAAATCCTCATGTTTTTTTTTAATAATTAAACAGGGAAAAACATGGTGTGTTGCAAAGCCTTCGACAGATGATGCAGCACTGGCTTCCAACATAAACTCGGCCTGTAATGACCTTGGATCCTTGGGATGGAACTGCAGCCAGATACAGCCGAACGGAGCTTGCTTCGAGCCCGACACTCTCATCAACCATGCATCCTTTGCCATGAATTCTTACTACCAAGCCTTTGGTCGTCAGGAACATAATTGTTACTTCCTGAGCTCTGGTCTCGTCACCATCTCCGATCCAAGTGAGACCTTAATCCTATAAAAAAAACATGTTTTTTTTTGTTTATCTTGGTTCTGCTGTTCATAATTGTTTGTTCTCGCAGGCTATGGAAACTGTCAGTATGTGTGAGAAGTATGGAAGATTAAGTGTTGTTTGGAGGTTTCTGGGTGTTGTCTGTAATAAATTTTATTTACATTCTAGGAGATTGGATTCTATAGCATGTTTTCATGGATGAAACGATTGTTATATTTGATCTATATGATATTTAAATGATATTATAAAAGTATCATTTTTATTATTATTTGTATGTTTGTAAATTTATTCTTCTTACAGCCGTAGAATAATAATCTTTAAATAAATTTGAATCAAATCTTAAATTGTTGATTTAGTTTATCATAGGTCTTATTCATATATTATAACGATTTGAGAGTTTGTATCCGTAGGACATGAGATTGTAAAGAACTCTGATAAGCAAATATATTAAGAGGTTCTAAAAAATTAAGAACCGCCTCTAAGGATAACTTACGGAGGTATAACAATCTCAAATTTTTTAATATTCCAAATTTATTCTCAAATTATAACATTCTTTCTAAACCAATATCTGAATATTCAATTATCCAAAAAAAAAATCTGAATATTCTAATAACATATTGCAAAATAATCCATATAAAATTAGAGATAGAATTAAAATATTTAAAATTATAATCAATAGTTTAAAATGATATGATAATTTAGAAACTTGAAGTGCAATTAATTGTGATTTACAACTTTATTGTATAAAACCCAAAGCTATAAACGAGGTGGAATCTGCAATTTCGCATCTTTTCTCACCAAACACATGGTGAATTGATTCATATCTCTTTAGTGTTGGGGTTTGGAATATGGCAGAGACAATGTTTGACTAATGTCTGATACAGACCTTTGACCGTGTCTCAATGCTGTTCAGATCCTTTGATTTAATGTTTTTGAGTTTAATAAGATAATTAACCCAAAATTAATTATGGGATTAAAACGTATTTTCAATAATCATTACTTAAAAGAGACGTATTTATGGCAAATTTACAAGTCATTTACAGAAAATACCCAATCTTGTTTAATGTTTTGCCCTTACATCTTCACTGTTAATCGCCCATTCAAGACATTTTCAGACGTTGAAACTAGGGTAAATTATGTGTTTAGTACCTAAACTTTTAATTTTTTAAAACCATACTTAACATTTAGTTTTTGTTTCGTTTTAGTATCTCGTCGTTAAAAACTTAACCGGTAATTTGCACGTGACACCTTTTTTATGGGTAGATTGCATCATTCACCACTCAACTATCTTCTCACTCCTATTTTGGTCATTAAATTTTAATTTTTATAATTTAATTACTTAATTTTCAAATTGCTCCTAATCCAATCACTCTAACTTTCAAATTTATTTATTTTTATTTTTAATTGTATATTAATAAAATAAAATAGAGTGATTAAAATAGGATCTATTTGAAAGTTGAGTAGTTAAATTGATTTTTTTTTAAACTTTAGTACCAAAATAGGAGTGAAAAGATAGTTGAATAAAGAATGATGTACTTTATCCGTTAAGTTTTTAATAACGAGTATTAAAATGAAACAAAGACTAAACATTAAGTATGATTTTGAAAATTTTAAAATAAAATGTGCCAAAACGGACTAAAACTGATAGTTCAAACACTAAAAACGTAATTTATTCTTAAAACTATTACCAACTCCACTACAAGATGGTTGCTAGTGCAATGAATGTTGTAATTAGGCCTGTAAACGAATCGAACGCACATGAACGGAGGTATGTTTATGTTCGTTCATTTAATAAATAAACGAACATAAACGAACAAATTTTTTTGTTGTTCATGTTCGTTCATTAAGGAATATAGCTTGTTCATGTTCGTTCATTTAATAAATAAACGAACATAAACAAACACGAACATAAATGAACACGAACATAAACGTTAGAGACTATTAAGCCAAATAAAGCAGATAAAGTGTATTTTCTACTTATTAATGGGTTCTTCCTGGAAAACCCATTACTTCCACAATAATTTTACATATTAACTATTAAGCCAAATAAAACAGAGAAAGAGATGAAAACACACCTGTAAAATTTTAGATTGCACTATAATATAACTTGTTTTGAAGCTTTCACCGATCGTCTCCACTCTCCAGTGAACACTAAGGTTTGGGAAAAAAAGGAAAAAATGAATATAGGTGCGAGGTGCCTCACGGGTTAACATATTGAATTTAATCTCCAAATAAAATTGGGTTAATTATGGAGTTGGTCATCAGAATATCAGATTAATTAATATTTTTAAAATACTTACAAATTGGTCACCAAAATTGATTTAAGAAGATTGGGTTAAACATAAATGAACGAACATAAACGAATATAACCGAACGAACATAAACAAACATAACCGAACGTTCACGAACATAAATGAACGAACGAAACCTATGTTCGTGTTCGTTCATTTAATTAAACGAACACAAAATCTTGTTCATGTTCGTTCATTTAATAAATAAACGCACATAAACGAACTTTCTGCCGCACGGTTCATGAACGGTTCGTTGAACGTTCAGTTCATTTACAGGTCTAGTTGTAATAGCTCGCTGTAAGAAAAATATCGAGGAAGCAGCAATTTATGGTCTGGAATTAGCAGTTTCTTCAACCCAAAGAGCAATGGCTAAATCAGTTGTCTCTCTCCCTCTTTTCTCATTGTATCATTTCACTCCGGTACGCGCCTTTTCCACTGTCTTTCGTTTTTGGGTTTGATATGAAAGCGTAAATGGTAAAATTGCAGTAGGTCCAAGAACAGAGCCATGTTGTAGGTGGGAGGGAGGGGCCATTGTCCCCTACTTTAATTGTTTAATTACATTTTAAGTCATCGATAGTTTTGAAAGTAAGTACTGATTCCTCCCATTTTTTCTGATTTAATTACTTTTTAAACCGTTTAGTTTTTAAAAAAATGATTAATTCTTAACTCCCTTAATTTTTATGGTTGAATTCCCTGTTAGGACATAGCCATGTTGTAGGTGAGAGAGACATCGCTCTCAACTTTAATGGTTTAACTATATTTTAAGTCACTGATAATTTTAAAATTATTGCAATTAAGTCTTGGTCTCTCTCAAAATTTTCTGATTTAATTACTTTTAGGATTTTTTTTTTCAGTTTTAAAATTAATGAAATTAAGCATTAATCCTCATTTTTCTAGTTTGACCTTTCAATTCTAGTTAAGCCCAAACTCTTATGGTTTAGTTTCTTGAAGTTTGTATTTGTTTTAAAATTGAGAAACTTAACTCCTTTAATTCAATTCTGGCTCCTTTGATTAGGTCCCTTCGGAGTATGTCAGATTATACCTTAATATAATGGTAAAAATATCATTCACTCCCAGAAATTGAAAACTACGAACTACTCATCAGAATTTTATTCCCATTATGCAGGGATCTTACTTAAGCTAGCCAATGGGCAGGTAAAAGAAAAATCAGTGTTTTAGCTGTGATATTACCGTAATTAAAAAACCTTTTTCTTCTCCTTTCAAATTCTGAAACAGGGCAAAACATGATGTGTTGCAAAGCCATCCACCGATGATGCGGCATTGGTATCTTGGATTGAACTGCACCAGTGTTACTTCACCAACTCTTCTCTCATCACAATATCCGATCCAAGTAAACAGCCTAATCCTGTTTTAAAACATGTTTTTTTGTTTTGCTGTTGATGTTTCATGGCTGACGTTGCTCATAATGTTGTTTCTGTTTCTTACAGGCTTTTGAAACTCAGTATGCACGAGGGGTTCTGATGTGGAAGACGATGGCATTGTTTGAAGGTTTTCTGGGTTTAGTGTGGAATAATTGTAGCCCAGAATCTTTATGTTTATAGTTATTTTCATGTCATGATTTATTTACGGATAGGAGATTAAATTCTGTGTTAGGCGATTTGAGGATTTGGGCTTATTTTATATATGATGAATGTGATTCCATGGATCCTCTTTCCTTCGTCATCTTTACATTTTCCTTCCTTTTCTCGATTCCCAAACACCATATTTATGGCATGATTCAAAATTCTAACAAAATGTACTGTTGCACCAATGAGAAGTTTTAAAAATACCATTGCTATTGACTATTGTTATATTAGTAAATGAATATGATTATTATTTATTAATGATTTGTCGCATTCTTCATTGATAATTCCATCCAGAAGATGATGAAACAAAAACATAAAATGCAACTAAACATGATTAATACAAGTCCTCAGTCCTCTTAAAACTAGTTTTTTGCTTAAAAAAAACTACATATACATCCTCAAGTACAAAGAAAAAAACATTCCCACTGATCCCATCTAGTCCTTGATGTTATAGCCCTTTAACCAGTAACTGAAGAATATTCCTTGGGCTGTAGAGAAGTTAGATGAAACTACAGTAGTCAAATACATGCATATGTAGTAAAAGATGTAGGAAGAAAGAGATTCATGGTTCATTCATGCTTTAGGAACATGGAAGGAACCATGTCTTGAAGAAGGCCGTAGTCAGACTCAGAAACCTGATGCTGGTAGTAGTGCTGCTGAGAAGGGTTTTCTGCAAACATCGAAGCTGCTGCACCGGCTGGGTCACTCATGTGATGAGGCGCCATCTGCATGAACAATTCGTGCGGGAAGCTCGTCGTCCCCGCCAGCTGCGGCGGACGAAACATCGAAAGCTGGAGCAGCGCCGCCGCATTCCTCTCGGCGATGTTGGAAGCGGGTGGTTATGTTGGCCTTCGTACATCGTGATCACCGTCGACGGATCCTGGTACGACCTCTCGACCCTTTTCTTGACCGTGCACTTCTGTGTGGTGCACCGATAGTAGCTTCTGCAGAAATGAAAAAGGCTCTCCGAATCATTCACAATATACGATTAACAAGCTTGTTCTTGTTTGTTTCCCGATAAAAAAAAGTTTAGTCGTACACAGGGTATTCAACTATATACAAAACCCATCAAGCTAGTCAAAGAAAGGGGCGAGAAAGATAATGCAAAAAGCCAAGCACAGACCAAAGACATGTAATCAGGTTTCAGACATGGAACCAAACCTTGGGTACGGACTGTTCTTCACAGCTTTCTGTCCATATTTTCTCCACCGATACCCATCTTCTAGATGATCAACTTCACTTTTCGTCACGAAAGCAAACCGTGGTTCTTTTTGCTTCCTCTCTTCTTTCTTTTTAGCTGCTTTGCTCCTATTACAAACACAATAATCAATTAAAACACTCAAAAGGTTTCAATAAATCGAAGAAATGGGGATGAAGTTTAGCCGATTGCCCTTTCTTAGAGCTTCCTTTGCTGCCGCCATCGTCCGACTCTTTCGGCTGCTTGTTCTTATTATTCTCTGAATCTTCTTCACAATTACAGGCGGCCTCGCTTGAGTAAGAAGAAATGGAGGAATTAGGAGCAATGGCTAAAACTTCACCACTATTAACATCAACACGCTCCTTTTTCGTCGGCGAAAACACTTTCGAGGACGACGGCGACATCCCGAAGGCGTTCTCGAGTGAACCATACTCGTCCGTCGAACCGTGTAAACAATCCGTGAAACTCATGTACGAGGAAGGGTATTGATCAGCCGGTGAAACCCTGAACATGTCGGTTGCTTCGACATGGTAATAAAAGTCTCTGAATTCAGGATCCGACATGGAGAGAGAGATCAAACAAAAGGGTTCAAGTTCTTGTAGTTTCAGGGTTTCATGGTATCCCTTATCATGTTGTTTGCGAGGTATATATAAATGATGATGAAGACATGGAAAGAGCTTTGAATGGGACATTGGGTTTCGGTTGCCACTTTATAAAGAAGGGTTGACAAAAACATCAAGTGGCTTCTACCATGGAAACTTTTACAATCCAATTTCATTAATATTTTTTTTCATTTTGTCTCTATATAAATTTCTAATATGATTTAGTCATGGTACAGTGATGTACGGATAGAATTTGACACTATATAGAGAATTTATTATAAAGGGATGTGTATGGGATTGAGTGATTCTTTGATCATCTTAATTTTATTTGAAAATTAAAGTTTTTATTCTGTTATTTGTTTTGGGGTTTGGTGTTGTTTCATTTGCTTTGAATCCATCTAGATTTTTAGATAAAATTATATCTCTAATTGAACTTAAATAAAAAAATATTTTTTATTGGGATGATTTTTAAAAAATATATAAAAAGTGGGGTAATTTTTTTTTATTTTTGAGTTTCTTTTAAAAAGAATAGTTCTGGTTGATACGATAGAAGCAATATAAAATCGGACAAAATTATGAATCTCTTAAAAAAAATCTCCCTAAATCTATTTGAAAGAGCATGCTCGTAAAAAAAATACATCCATAACACAAAACACAAACATAAACAAACATGTGTATCAAACAACCAACACGACAAAGGATCAATAACCTGGACGTCCCTGAACAATCCAAATCTAGCAACTAATAACACCATTACACTAAAGAACCGAATCCACTAACCCATTAGGAAATGGCTCAGACACTACCCAAAGAAAACCATTGAAGTCAACAACAAGCATTTTACCATACTTAACAACAAGCCATCAGACAACATTTGAAAAGAAACAAGCAACCCACAACCAGCAACCGAGCAACGCTCGACACGAACGAGAGCAGGAACATTAATGATACGACACCCTCCCAAACACCATCACTCGAGCACTGCCTTGATAGACCTACATCAGCAACCGAGCAACGCTCACCACGAACGAGAGCAGGAACATTAATGATACGACACCCTCCCAAACACCATCACTCAAGCACTGCCTTGATAGACCTACATCAGCAACCAGACAAACCAAAAACGCTGGATCGAGCCAATAGGACGCCCCTGCTCAGGATCCTGAAGCATCAACTGTGAAGATTATAGAGACCTCCACGACAAAGACGTCACTCTTAAACCAGAGCGATTGAAGAAGAAGTAGCGCTGACCAACAGACTCATAGACCACACAAGGATACAAGAGCAAAACACCCACATGAAGTGAAACACCCCCACATAGCAACCGTGGAACCCATAAGTACACAAACAAATGTTAGAAAGTTAACATCGAGCCCAACCTCTGCCGCCTTTAAGATAAAAACCAACAAGGAACTAGAATACTTAAAAATAAACATCACGTTACAAAATAGTATTAATATAGGACAAGTATCATGAATACTTTCAATTTTTTTTTAAAATCATATGTAAAGTTTAATTTTTATTTTATTTTAGTACCTCGTTTAAAATTTAACGTTAAGTTTTAAAAAAAATTAAAAATTTAGGTACTAAAATCGACCAAAACTAATAGTTTAGATACTAATCAATTTAAGTTTTTAACGGTGGAGTACTAAAATGAAACAAAAATAAACATTAGGTATGCTTTTGAAAAAATTGAAAGTTTAGGTACTAAAACGGAATAAAATTGATAATTTAAGTACTAAATGTATATTTTACCTTTTAAAAATAATAATCCTATAAAATTAATTCAAAAATTTATTAAATACAAATATTTTAATTATTCCTATATATATGATAAAGAAAATAACAATAGTTATTAAAAACCCTACAATAATTATAGAACTAGTGGCAGATATGTCTGTTCAAAAAATCAAATGTTTGAATATTTTCAAACAAAAAATTAATTATAATAAAAAATTTAACATCAGCATCAAGTATAATATTTTTAAACATTTATTTTTAATTATAAGATTGTCTTCCATCCCTCGAGAAGAGTCGAAGAATTTCTTTATAAAGATGATTTACATAATTATATTAAAAGTTATAAATGATTCATATAAACGTATTAAGAATCAACAAATATTCAAAATAAAATATGCATAAAAAATAAAAGATTTTATGTTTAACAAGAAAACAAATCATTACCTATAGCATATGAATAATAAATGCGGAGGTGATACACTTAAGCTCTGCGGCATAAATTTTTGAGTTTTGTCTGATTATATTTATATTTTTGGCTACATGTATTATTATGATATTTATGTAAAATTGTTTAGAAAAAAATAAGGTGAGGGATAAACGCGCTACAAGGGAGCGTGTGGGAGATGAAGAAGCAAATTGGAGCGGCCGAGAGATGAGACCAAACAAAAAAAGGCAGTCAAACATTCAAACTTGAGGAAATATTAATGATGATCGGAATAATAGGCGTACACGCGCCGTTGTTGGTACCGGCATTTGACCGTCGCCGACAACTCCGCTTGGCACGTGGGAGAGGATCCTTTCGCTGCTTCTGCTGATTCCTGACTTGCATCACCTATTCCTTTTCCCTTTTTGCCCCCTCTTCGAACACATTTTCTAGGGGGGAAAATGTAAAAAGATATATGAGATCCTTGTACTTTACAAAGAAAAATTAATGTGACCCTTATATTATTTTTCTCTTAATGTAATCCTCTAACTAAAAAAATAAACTCAATGTGATCATTTGACCAACTTTTTTATCGCTGACTGTTACGATACTGACGTAACATTTCACAGTGTTAACGTGATAGTTCACAGTGGTTGATAACATTGTAGATAACATAGAAGAAGGGTTAAATTGGTAACTAAAAAATAGTATATTGAGTTTGTTTTCTAAGTTTGAGGACCACATTGAGATAATATAATACGAGGGTCATATTAATTTTTTTCCAAAAGTACATGGACTTTTGATGCTTTTGTCCGAAAATATTATCACCTCTTCGGTAATTCTTTGGAATAATTTTGATTTGTCCCTATATAATACTGAAATTTGAATTTAATTTGGATCCTCCAATCAAATTTAAATGTAATTTAATCACTGAGATATGTAATAAAATATGTTGGGAACATTATAGCATGATTGGGCATGACATGTCGTAATGTGTGGTTATTTGTCTTCTAATTTACTAATGAGTTGTTTTGGTTTTAATTGAACTGAAATTGAGTCTGATTTTTATAAGGATCAATTATAGAGACAATAATCCAACTTTGGTCTACAAGGATTAGGTATGTTTTCAACAACATTGGCCCCGAAAACCAATATATTCAGCATTTAACTACCTAACCCAAACCAATCACCTCCTTTTGTCTTTGTTTTCAAGACCTTTCTGGAAAATATACCAATAAAATGTAGTTCGTCATAGACTTGATCGAAACCCTAGAATGATCAATACCCTCAACAATAGTTATTAAAACTGATCATTGAGATTATCGAGAGTCGAGACTTCAACAGACTGTCAACAAATCATACAAGACTTCTGCAAGAATAGTTGGAAGATCCATCAACAAGATATACATATGTGCGAGGAAGGAAACAAAAATCCAAGACATGAAGCACCACTTGGCAAACCTCTCGACCTCGATAATATTTCAACTTGCAAAGCATTTTCACATCACTCATTAAAACTCTAAGCCAGCTACCACCATCTTTAGTTCTCATGATAGCATAATACAACATTGCAAAGTAAATACAGTCTCAAAATATATATAAGAAAGCCCATTAAATTGGGGTTTATGCATCCATGAATATGAAAGCATACCCCACAAATGAGGCAGAGGTTCGCACTTGATGTTCAAACTAATCATCGTCGTCAAGAACACTCCGACGCCTCTGGATCTGTAGAACCAGACAAACAATGGAACCAAATCAATATCGTTGTAACACTGGACTGTGTATATTAAACAGTCGGCAATGTGCAACATAACTTACCGTGACTTTAGTTTGCTTAGTTGTTTGAGTGTTTATCTGTTCCAGTATTGATATAAGCCTCTCCTCAGAAACCTTCACATGGATTCAAACGTAAGTGTTTCAGTTCTTCATCAAAGCTTATTTAGAAATGCAGTATTGAATAATTGCAAAACCTTAATATTAGGCATACAACAATAACTAGTTGAGCCACAAAAATTTTCAGCATACCTTCTCAACTATCTGACCAGTCTGAGCAGCTCTGAGTAGAACATCCTCCACACCCCTAGCCTTCTCAGGTTTCACCAAGGCAATTCGAGCAACTGGACATGATATATATAAGGAAAGGACATAAATATGAAAAGAATAATATGTAGGTAAAAAGACAGTGCAAATCCTTAACCCATCATTTATGCCTGTCATCCAGTTGTACACTTTTTGCCTCCATGATGTTGCATCTTCTTCTCGGTTTTAATTCATAATGACATTACAAATATAGCACCGAAGTTTTTATGTATTTTTTAATGTGTGAGAGTTTTCCATAAACTGAAAGCTGCATCACACTATGATTCATGCTTTCCATTTTATAACTCAGTTAAGCCTTATACCCAAACCATCCATATTAGGCCCCTAAATGGCTAAACCCTTATCCAATTCGGATTTCAGCGCCTTTATATTCACAAGTTTCAAACTACATAATTCAAATCTAAGCTTAGTCTTCCAATTATGTGTCCCCCCACAAATTTTTTAACTCCGTAGTTAAATTAGGTCTTCCTAATATAAACAAATACTTATATAAACACACTTCTCCATGCTTATCGAAGCACAAGTTCACTATTCCAAACCATGATGACAAACACATACATTTTCAGACCATGCAAGTAAATTAAATTCAAAGATTTATGGTAACAGTCCATTGATATATCATGAATATAGAACGCAAAATAAAAACTAAATAGTCAGATAAAACAATTTAGAGTCAGTCCATTGAAATATCCTGAATACAGAAAGCAAGATTAAAATTGAATAGTCAAATAAAACAACTTAAAATGGTGAATTGAATGCACATTCTAACAATTAAAAGTAGGTTTCCTGAACCAACTAAAATGGTGAATTGAGGTACAAGCTTACGTCTTTCACGAGCTTCACTGGACAAAATCTGACTGAGCATCATTTGCCTCTGTTCATCTGCCTCCCTAAATTAATAGCTTTCATTCGTCAAATTGATTAACTAATTTGATCCCAAAATAAATATTAAAACATGAATGATTAAAAAAAACACGCATATACAAAAGTAAACTGACCTCTTGGCCTCTTCCTGAGCTTTCTGCTGGTCAGGGTTCTGCTGACTCCCCTGTTTATCAATAAATTACAATTAGCAACATTATATTAAAAGCTTAAACAAGCCAATTCAGAATTCTTCAACAAGAAGAATTGGAAGAAATTAAAATTAAAAGACGTAGATTACTCTCCCTTGTCGAGCCATCAGCTCTTGCATCCTCCTTTGTCTAATTGCTTCTAGTTCAGGATCAGCCTGCAAAATTATAAAAAAATTATAATCCATTGGATTCCAAAGGCATCAATGTAAAAGGACTTTACAATCCCATGGAATCTAAATTTGTCCCTCTTCTTTATTATTAAACTAAAAATCATCGACTACTATAACCAAAAACAGTCAGAAAATGCTGAAAACTTCAATAATCATATTAAAACAAAGAAAATAAAACGGGAATCATAGGAATGAAACCCTAAAGAGATGTTTGGTTGCCGAGAAATTTAGTACGTATCCAAAGAAAAGTTGAAAAGAATACCATTGGTTGAAGACCTATTAGATCTCCCTCCACCTACACCACCGCCAAAGAGAGCAGGTTAAAAGGCTTCTTCACCGGAGAGAGATTCCTCCAGCCTTTTTAACTTCAGCAGTACGCGATTTATGTCCTATTCCCCCCCCCCCTTCAAATGAATTCCTTCTTCCATTTAAATTATCAACCAAAAAGGAAGTTTCCTGGGCTTGGGCTTGAATGGGCTCAACTTGAACCTTACGAGTTCATTTCTAAGACAAATAATGATCCAATTAAGGGTGAGGTTGATTCAGTTTGAGCTTTTAAGATTATTTTAATTTAGTTTAATATAATTCTCAATTTTTGTATTAATTTTAAATTTGATATATTTCCAAATCTTCGTACGATAAATTTGACGAGAACCTATTCTGACCATCATCCGATCCTAACCAACACAAACATAGACTACTCCTTGGAGGAAGCGAAAGGAAGTTTTAGACTCCAAGCTTTCTAACTTACCCATCATTATTTTTCGACAGTCTAGTGTAGGAAAAAGGATTCTCTTGTGGATGCGGAGGCTGAAACGAGTAAAGAGTCAAACCGACGATTTGCGGGGAGGAGAGATTCGACCTTATAAGGCCGGTAACTATTGAAAAAATCTTGTCCATGAAAGGACTGAAAGCTCTCGGACCAGACAGTATATAACCGGTTTTTTTATAAAAAAAATAAATTATTAAAGAAAACTCAAATTTATGGATGAACATAAAAAAATTCAAGGTAAACATTATAAATAAAATAAATAATTAATTAAAAAAAATTTAGGTGAATACATGTCTACCTTCATCAATATGTAACTTGATCACTGATACACTATTTGTTATGTCAACTCAACTCTTATGTCTGAATCCGTTGATATAAAGATGATGAAAGTCTACATAGTGCCCATCTCAAAAGTTAACGCAACAAACAAAATTACTTTGTTTCGCCTTAATACCCTCTTTAATACATCTTACAATATCCTATCAAAGACTTTGGTTCATCGAATGAGACTCGTACTACAAAGATTGGTAGGTCCTTCTCAGAATAGCTTCTTGGTTGACAGAAACGCAACAGATAACATTTTAGTAGTGCAAGAAGTTATACATATGCTAACAAACCTACAAGGAAGAAAGTGATCGACTATAATGAAAATCGACATTAAAAAATCTTATGATAAGACGAGTAAGGGAGTGCCTAAAAATGTTTGGGGAAACATCAAACATTATAAGCAATCACATCATAATGTTTTATTTAGTTTTGCATGCTAAACAAGTTGAATACAAATCAGATTAGATTTATAAATAATATGACTCGAGAAGTAACTGTTGTTGTTTGAGATGATTAGAAGAGAAATCGAAGAATAGATAAGAGAAATAGAGAGAAATTTAGAGAGAATTCAGAGAAGAAAATACTTGTCATTCATAACATAGAAAGCAGAGTGATTCTACAGCAGTATTATTTAGTTACAGGGCTACAAACGTCATTATAAAATAGGCCAGCTGTCTGTACTAATAACAACCTATAACATATTATATCTTCTCTCCTTGCAGGTTTGTTGGGCCACCTAACTGGACTGCTTCACTTCTCCCGTCTGAAGACTTGGGCTGGTCCAATATGCCTGAACCAATATCAGATAACTCCTTTCCCTCAGGTAAACGCCTCATATCCCTCTCTCTTCCTTCAATCCCTAAATTCCCTTCTTCAATTCCCTCTCGAGCCTCAATCCCTAACCCTAACTCTCAGTTTTCCCCAATTGTTTCCCCAATTTCTTCTTCTCTTCCCCGCTCATCTCCTCGCACATCTCCTCCGACTGTAACAATACCCGCCGCTGGAAAGGATCCTTGTCCCCAAGGATCAAAATCAGGGAATTGGCCTCGAAGAACAGTAAAATCTTCCCATGTATCGCTGGTTTCATCGAGGTTCTTCCAACGCACAAGCAACTGAGTTACAGGTTTGTTCTGTCTGTTTATGATTCTTCGACCCATAATCCTGTATGGCTCGATTCTAATCTGTCCATCATCATCCATGGCAAGAGGGTCTCTTGAAGAGACACTTGAATCCCCGATGTGCTTCTTCAGAAGGCTCACGTGAAAAACAGGATGTAATCTAGAAGAATTTGGTAAGTCTAACTTATACGCGACTTCACCAATCTTTTCAATAACTGTATAGGGGCCGTAGTACTTTGCTGCTAACTTCAAATTCTTGCGCAGGGCCAACGAAGTCTGACGGTAGGGTTGCAATTTCAGGTAAACAGTATCTCCAACTGCAAATACTCTTTCTTTCGTTCTTGTCTGTGTTTTGTTTCATTCTGTTACTTGCATGCTCCAATTGTAGCTTCACTAACTGTCTAATATCCTCCCTACTCCTCATTAAGGCACTAACAGACTGCACAATAGTCTCTGTCTGCCAAACCATAGTAGGAGGCTTGTAGCCATACAATGCCTCAAATGGTGTAAGTTTAAGGGATGTGTGATAGGTAGTATTATACCACCACTCTGCATGTGGCAGCCATTTAGCCCACTGCTTTGGCTGAAAGAAACATAAGCCCCTCAAATATTGTTCCACACACTGATTCACCCTTTCTGTCTGACCATCAGTCTCTGGGTGGTATGCAGTACTAAATAGAGTTTTAGTACCTAGTTGCTTCATCAGTTCTCTCCAAAAGAGACTGGTGAATGTCTTGTCTCTGTCAGAAATGGCCATTTTAGGCTGGCCATGAAGTTTATAAACAGTATTCAAATATAATTTGGCTACATCCGCAGCTGTATAAGGATGTGATAGGGCTAGAAAATGGCTGTACTTAGTAAATTTGTCAACTACCACCAAAATGCAATTTTTCTTTTGAGATGTAGGTAAGCCTTCTATGAAGTCCATAGTAATAATCTCCCAAGCCTGTTGGGGAATATGTAATGGTTGTAGGAGTCCTGGTTTAGGAACATGTTCAACTTTAGTCTGTTGACAAACTTGACATCCTCTAACATAATTTGCCACCATAGCCTTCAACTTAGGCCAATAAAAATTTGCCCTAATCCTTTGATAAGTAGCTTGTATTCCAGAATGTCCCCCATAAGGTGAATCATGTAAGAGTTGAAGAATTTGTAATCTTAGAGGTCCAATACCCCCAATATAAACCCTGCCCTTGAATCTAAGGATACCCTTAGAATATGTCCACCTAGGGTCAGCATTAGGATTGACTGGTAATATAGATAACCACTCAGTTGCCATTTTATCCCCTTTATAGCTGTCTTCCACTTCCAGTACCCAACTAGGAATTATTAAAGTAGTACCCATAGCCATATACTGACCTTGATCTTCCCACTGTCTAGAAAGAGCATCAGCAACCACATTGGACTTTCCCTTCCTATACTGAATAGAATAGTCCAGCCCCAATAATTTAGTCAGTCCTTTCTTCTGAATGGAAGTAGTTAACTTCTGCTCCAACAAATATTTGAGAGGTTCATGGTCAGTCTTTATGATAAAAGGACTGCTTTCTAAATAATGTCTCCATTTAGATACTGCCATTAGAATAGCAAGGTATTCTCTCTCATATATAGATAGGGCAGCATGTCTAGGGCTAAGAGCCTTACTAAGGTACGTAATAGGTCTACCCTCCTGAGATAATACAGCCCCAATTCCTCCTGAACTAGCATCTGTTTCTAAGTAAAAACTCTTCCCAAAATCTGGTAGTGCTAACACAGGGGCAATACACATAGCATGCTTCAGATTGTCAAAAGCTGTTAGGGCCTCAGTACTCCACTTAAAACTGTCCTTCTTAAGCATCTGAGTCAAAGGTTTGCTGATGGTACCATAATTCTTTATAAACCTTCTGTAATATCCTGTCAATCCCAAAAAACCTCTCAAAGATTTTAAAGATTTTGACATAGGCCAATTCTTCATAGCTGCCACTTTAGTAGGATCTGTAGAAACCCCAGAAGCTGAAATAATATGCCCCAAGTACTCAACTTGAGTCTGCCCAAATAAGCATTTAGACATCTTGGCAAATAATTGATTAGTTCTTAAAACTTCCAGAACTAATTGTAAATGAATGATGTGATCAGCCATAGAAGTACTATAGACTAGGATATCATCAAAAAATACTAAGACAAATTTTCTCAAGAATGAACTAAATAATTCATTCATTAAGGCTTGAAATGTGGCAGGGGCATTAGTAAGCCCAAAGGGCATTACCTTGAACTCATAATGGCCCTGATGAGTTCTGAAAGTTGTCTTGTAGATATCCTCAGGCTTAATTCTGATCTGCCAATAACCAGACCTTAAGTCAATCTTAGAAAAATAGACTGCTCCATGTAATTCATCCAGTAGATCCTCTACAACAGGAATAGGAAATTTATCCTTCACTGTCATACTGTTTAGTTTCCTGTAATCCACACAAAACCTCCAAGTGCCATCTTTCTTCTTTATTAAAAGACATGGAGAAGCAAAAGGACTTTTGCTTGGTTGAATAACAGAGGAGGAAAGCATATTAGCAATCTGCTTCTCTATCTCAGCTTTTTGATTATAGGGAAATCTGTAGGGTCTTAAATTGATAGGGGTAGCTTCAGGTTTAAGAGGAATAGCATGGTCATGGTTCCTTGTAGGAGGCAGTCCTTTAGGTTCAACAAAAATAGAGTGATACTGATCCAAAAGAGGCTGAATAGCTGTAGGAGTAATCTTGGAATCTTCACACATATTGAAAAACACTACATGTCCCAAAATAGGATAATCAGAAGCTGTCATCTTCAATAAGGTAGCTCCTGAAATTTGCTGCAAAAAATTTGACTGCTGTTGACCTTGTATAGTAATTTGCTTCCCCTTATGCACAAAGCTCATTGTCATGTTATTAAAGTCCATCAAGATTGGACTAAACAATTTCATCCAATCCACCCCTAACACCATATCACTGCCCCCCAACTGAAGTAGTCTGAAATCATGTATAAAAGAGTGCCCTTGCATCTTCCACTCCACTTCATTACACCTTGCTGAGCTATAGAGTTGCTGCCCATTAGCTACTGTAATAGCCAGAGGATGAAGAGTGTTTATCTGTATACCAGCCTCAGCCCATTGAGGGGTTAAAAAACTGTGGGTACTCCCGCTGTCAATTAGTATATTCAGTGGTCTCCCTTGAATTGTTCATTGAATC